AAAGTGTGCAACTACAAATCAAATGACCCCAGATAGCTGGGCAGGAGGCCCTGAACCAGCAGCAGTTTCCCATGAGGGACATGCCCTCATGAAGAGGGCAAGGAACCTGGCCTGAGAAGGAAACTCTTAGGGTTACCACCTCAGAGCTGCAATTTCACCACACCATGTTGTGGAACCCACTCAAACGCAGCCAAACACAATGGGGTACTATTTTCTTAAAGGTTCTGCAATTTTATCAAAAAGCTGATTATGAGTTTTATGGTCTTAAATATTTAGAAATCCTAATTTGATTATTTAGAGAGTTGTTCACTTCTCAAAAATCAGAGTCAATGCTTAGAATTAGGGTTACCATGAGTGTGTCTCCTGGTCCCAGTCTGCTTCACCGGCTCCCCTACTGGGCTCCTATTTACTCTCACCCCAGGTTCAGCTGCCTAGTTCTGGTGAAGGAAGGCTGCTGAGAACAAGTTCCAAACTCTGTGGTTCCATCAGATGCCAGCCACATGCCTTCTAGTCCTACTCTCATCTGGGCTAAAGCCTTCCTGTTAACCACACGCACCTGGATCATAGAAACCAGAGCTTCTCGTTTGATGACAGGCTCTCACAGCCCTTGCCCCAGGACTCAAGTCACAAAACAGAAGCCTGCCTTCACTATGCAGAAGCCCCCACCTCTTGTGAGACAGTGCAATCCTAGGGCCTGGCCAGCCCCAAACCCAACACACAACCCACTTTTTAGTGAGACCTGCCTCATGGGCTCAGAGACTATGTTCGGACTGTCTTGTAGGCCTCACCACCCCTGTGTGTGGCAGGATCAGGTCACTGATTGGACTCTACTCAAGTAACCAGCCCTGCATTGACCTAACACACAAAAATAATGTTGGGTCCTTGTCTTCAGAGATCAGTAATACTACTGAGCACAACTGACCCAGTCTTTGCTTTACCTGGGCTGTGCCATCCATGTTGTAGTCACAGTTGTTTCATTGAAAAAAAATATTCTCATACATGTCTATTCCCCATGCTGATCTGTTCCTGGTAAAGCTCACATCTGATAAACTCCTGTTCACCACCGATAACATTAAAAGGAGTCCTCCTCAGGGAAGCCATCTTTGACCCTAACATGGACGAGCTGGGGCCTGGCCCTCCATGAAGGCTTCACCTGGGCTTGTATCTATGTCTCCCATGACCCTCAGACAGTGTAGGGAATGTTGCTAAGTTAAGAAACAAGACAAAATCAACACTCAAGCCTGCACTTATGTGAACTGAGCAGCCAGCAGAGGAAGATGCAGCCACTCTTGGACTTACCATGTGGCACATGAAGATTTCCCACTGAAATCCAAGCCTTGAGTCCTCTAGTGTGGCCCACAAAGACTCAGCGTGACTCTGGCCTGCCCTCCTTACAGCACAGGTACCCACCAATCCAACAAAGAGTCTGCTCAGCACCTCAGGGCACCTACTGTGTTGCACGCAAAGGATACTGTTCTTCCCAACTCGCAGTGAAAATAAAGACATTTCATTCATTTATTCTACTCCTGAGGCCAGTCCTTTGCCATTGCAGGGGGAAAGGTGAGAAAGGGATGATATCTGGGGTTTAAGGGAGAATAACGAAGGTGAGCATGCTGGACCTGGCCTCCACATGCAGTCTCTCAGCTGATGGTGAAGTTCCTTCTCATTTATTCATTCATGCAACTTTCATAGCTGCTACACTGACTCTGCTTACAAAAAACTATACTTTAAAATATATCTAAGAAATACATCCTCAAACCTGAAGCACAACAATCAAGAACAGACAAGATTGGGAATACTTTTTTCAATGAAACAACCACGTCCACAACATGAATAGTACAGCCTTGGTCAAGATATGAACTCAGTGGTAATTAAAACAGAATGGCTCCTAATTAGTTAGACCCTTATTGTCCTTAGTAATCATTTATGTCTACATCATATTCCATAAGCAGCAGGGACTGTACAATAAATATTGACTCTATTTCTGAACAACGAAGTAGATGTGGGTAATGTAGGATGAAATGATTCTTAAATATAAAATGAGACTTATAAAGTGAATACCATTTAACTGAAGTACTTTAAACATAAATTAAGTACCTGTATATGACCTAACCACTTCCCAGAGAAATGAACCTCCCCATCTTAAATGCACCTCAACTTTGCCAGAGTAGGGACCATGCCTCCATCACCCTGCAACACATGAATCCCCATAGGATGGTAAGTGGTTGAGATTTGGGGACTAATAATTTTATGTAAGTAATATAAAATAATTTTTATATTTTGTCACATATAGGTAACATTAAGGAACTCAGGTGCAAATAAGCAGCCATGAGTAGGAAATGTTTCCTTGGTTAATAACTGTGATTATAATAATTTTAACCATGAGAGCCAGGTTCTGAAATATTGCAGAGAGCTGGGTAAATTTTTATCTATTCTTATCTATGTCTCAAATCTCTTCGCATTGTGGGAAGTAGGAAGTCTTTTCCAGGACTTCTTTCTGCTCTTTTCTGTCTGTTCAGCAGCATTCCCTAATTACCCATCAGAATACCCACCCACTTTGGAATGCAACATACTTTTTAAAAATCCAGTTTAACACATCTTCCTGTTCTAAATGACCACAAAAGGTCATTTCATGGGAAAGAAGGAAGAGATGAGATGCCCAGGTCAACAATCCTGTCACCCATGTGGTGACCACCATTGCACTTCCTTCCAAACTGGAGATGTTTACTGTGAACTGTTGGAGTAGGTGCCATGAAATCCCACTGCTGCAAAATGCATTCGTTCTTGTAGCCAGGGAACAATTCCAGGCTGAAAACTCAAGAGCCGACAAATGGGAGGCATGAAAATCCCAGAATAAATTCCTAAATAATTGTAATGATTTCATAAATGGGATTAATTTAAACACAGAGAAGAAAGAGAAGTATGAGGCAACAGGCTCCAGTATAGATCTTTCTCAACCAAAATTATTCAGCATGAAATGAACTCTTCTCTCCATTTTTATCAGTAGAGAAGTGGCGTTTATTTTTCTAACCTCCAAATTCTTTGATTCTGCAATGACCACAAAATAGAATTATCATAATGACAAGAAAAAAAACACTGGAATCTGCCCTGCCTATCTCCTTCCTATTATTCTCTTCCAATCACTTCCTCCTTGAAACGACTTTGGTCCCTGAACCTCCTGAAGTTGGCCAGGCACACAGTACAAAGCCTCCATCTATTAGTTCCCTAAACCTAGTCTGTGCAGCATGGTGGCCAGCTGGACTCTGTAACTCCAGATCCAAAGCTAAATCTCAGTCATTTACTTGCTTGCTACATTTGCATGTGGTTTACTCCCCAGTGGTTCCTGTGAAAGGTGGTGAAACCTTTAAGTGGTGGGGCCTCTTATGAAGTGGTTAGGTCAATTGCAGTGCTACCTGTGAAATGGTTAAGGCAGTTCTTGTGGTAACACTGCTATTCTGTCATGTGTAACTAATTAAAACAAATTTAAAAAATGGAAAAAAAAGAGCAAGGGTGGCCCATGAATTTCTGTCTCTGGCTTTCTGTGTCACCATGTGATCTCTTCCTCTCAAATATGCTACAGCCACTGTGACGATATCTCCTATGGGGCCCTCACACAAAGTCAGACAAATGAAGTCACCCAAGCTTAAATTTTCAGCCTGAAAAACCATATGCTAAATAACCCTCTTTTCTTTACACTTTACTCAGCCTTAGGTATTTTATTACAGGAGTGGAAACAGACTGATACAGTCAATAAGCTTGCACAGTACATGATGAAAAACAAAACAACAACAACAACAAACCTACAGCTTTGCTTCAAGAAGGGTTGCCCAGAACTTCACAAAGTACTTAAGGATTAGATGCCCACACCTAAAGATAGGGTGAGATGCAGATAAAAACAAATCTGTCCATTGAAAGGCATCAAGATCTATATATTTAACCCCTAGATGGAATAGAATATGCAGACACTACTATAAAAACATTAAAGCAATGACTTAAAAGAAGAGGTCTGATTTTGTATGTAAGGCATATGTAGAAATCAAGTAGGTTAATTCGAAGCCTTAGAGCACGCAGTAGAACTTCAAGACTGTTTCTAATTCAGAACCTTCTACAGCAACCACAACAGTCTACCTAATTCCTGTTTTTTAACCCTCTATTCTCTTTCAAGTTTTCTTTAAACAACTAAAAAATTTCTGTGGAAT